CAACGAAACACAGCATCACACACGGCGGGCTACAGTGAGCGGAGGCCGGCTTGAGTGAGCGACAGCCTGTGGGCTTGAGAAGGCGCGGCCGGTGGATTCGACGAAGGAGCTTCTGGCAGAACAAAGAACAAAACATTTCACTACAACACTGTTAGAAAACAAACAAGTACTTGTATAAGTCAGCGCATGGAAGCAACCCTGTACGTCACTTGAACATCACATTGAACTGATACTGTAGCACATGTGACGACCCCGGGCTGGACTCTGCTTCGTCCACGGTGAAAGCCGATCCGGCGATCATATGTTCAGTTTCAGAATCAGTGTTTTTGTATAGCATAATTTTAATAGTAACAAATGTTTTTGGGATGTTTTTGAGCTAGATTACCTGGTATAACTTGTGAGGTAGAGATCTGCCAGAATCCTTGTGTTAACGCTTCAGCTGCTGCTCTCTCACTGTCATAAACACCATTTGCGTTCTGAAATGCTGCAGGTTGCAGGAGTCCTGGCAGATGTCCCGGGTTCTCCACGCCATTACCATCCTGAGATCAGAAGGAGAAAATTACATCAATGTATAACTTTGGGCATAAAACATCATCTGGCCTTCTTCAAGCCCTTGAAGTAGGTAAAATTGAACCTCAAGTGACAAACAGAACATAAACAGATCCCACTGTCATTATGGAACAATTTGATTAATTCACACAGGGTTTTGTCTTGGCTTTTCTAATGCTCCCTTTTTCACTGTTGTACACTGGCTGAAGATCATCGTTGTCTGACGTGACCTAATTTCAGGTCAGCTTTAGCTGGCAGACAGATGGTCTTGCATTTGTCTCGAGAATAAACTGGTGTGAAGACAAAGCCATAAACCAATTACAAATCAAGATTATAGTCCCTTCATCAGTATGGTTGATGGTTGGCTGGTAGGAGATGTCTGTGGAGACAACATTTGGTGCATACTTTCAAAACCTACCATTTTTTCCTGACTCCTTTTCAATAGCATTATATTTGTTTGTTTAATTGAGCTTTTTTTCCTGAGCATTACATATTCTTACCTTAATAAGTGACCTTGCTGGGAAGATTTGCAATTGTATTGAAAGTTTTCCACTTATACATGATAGCCCTTACTACACATCTTAAAATAGCAATTGCCCTGTAAATAAAATAAAATAACTGTCCCCAGACTTATGGACGGCCACAATCACATTTATGAGCTCTGATTGCCAGCACCTGGCTGCTAATTACATTCTTAAGCATATATTAGACCGCTTTAGTCATCTGGCCTGAATTTTGTATTTAACTAAATATTAATGAATTTTAATTGCATTATTTATTACATTTAAATATAATATTTCAGTATTTTCAAATAATAATTATTTATCAAATAAATTGATCATATAATTTATATGTACACTATATTATATTATACACACACACACACACATTGTGCTTTGCACTGCAAACAGATTTTACCTCAGAGGTAGATTTGACATCAAACAGGTGTAGCTGCATAGCCTGCAGTTTCTGTCTCTCTGCAGTCAACTAACAGTAACATTCACACAGTAAATATAATGCAAGGTCATAAACAGGCATCCATTTATAATACAGTTCTCATTAAAACCTCCTGACTGCCACTCTGCATTTATGTATCATTAGCTCCTGTGATACATGATAAATTGGTTCTATTTTTCCCACATAAGCTGGCCTAATATATAACTGTAGAGCAAAGCATTGTTTTTGAGAACTGGGGTTACATACCTGATTCTCCATGTATTGTACTTTGTCTTTCTGCATCCTCAGCTGGGCTATACTTCTGTCCCCAGGAGCATGGTCAGTAGAAAGGTGTCTAGATACATACATAAAGACATACATATGTCAGGTATTGTTAAAATGATTTAGTAAATTATATTGTTAATTCCATAACTGTCTCACTTTAAGAAATGTCCATATTCTTTGAACACTTCTCTGCTCTTTGAGCACCCAGGCCATCTGCATTGTCCTTTAACACACAGAAAGCCACCTGGAACACTATATGCATGTCTAGAGATGATAATAAATGCTTCATTTAGCACAAAAACTGAGACCATATGGGCATTATTTATTTGTTTGTGTGTTTATTTTCTCAAACCAGATACTCACTTCCCAGTATGCTCTGTGCTGCCAGGCTGAGGGCTTGACATAGAGGCACCGAGTCTGCTTTCAGACTGGCTGTTGTAAAGTGGCACAGGGTCTGACAGGTCACTGCCAGGTTCTGTCTTACACACAGTGTCCACAACCCAGTCATGAACACCAAATGCTGTGGAGCATTATGAAAAGTTTAGTTTCAGATATAAAAGATTTCACTTGTTTTGATAAATTCTACAGTACCAGTAGCTTGTGGGAATGGCTGGTTGCCTTTGCGTAGTACTGATGGTCTGTCCTGTCGAAAACATTTGCTTGTATTTTCACTGGCACTCTGGATATAGACAACTCAAAGTTTATTCTAATCTTTTTAACCCTTTATTTTTTGAAGCAAGGTGTTGCAATGCAAGTGAAACCTTTTCTAATGAAACTGTACCTGCTGTTTTAGAGTGGAATTTTGAATGTGAGATGATCCAGAACCTCTGAAATCACTGTCCAAGTCAACAGATACCTTTGAAATCACAATTGCAAAAAAAAAAAAAAATGTATATGTATTATGTATTAGTATAATGTGCTACTTGAGCTGTGAATTGCTAAAGTCTGTTTTTTTTTAGGTGATTTTAGGAATAACTCAAATTAACATTATTAATGTTCATTTAATGTATATTGTTTTGTGCAGTAATACAGAAATATGGCAGTTTCTAGTCTGTTACCTTGGTAGCCATGGGTTTAGCTGAGATCAGAGATGAACTGATTCCTCTGGCCTTCATCTGTATGCTGTAAAAGGTAGAGCTGTCTTCCTCTTGGTACTGATTTTGGTGACTACTCCGGTTATCTCCACCTCTGTCTGTTCCAGCACCATTTTGAAACATTCCTATATAGAAATATGAAGTCATAAAAGAGCTTACAGTTCATTAACTTTAACATACTACTGTGTACTGAGAGTGAAATGAATCAGCCCTAGCGCAAACTATTTCCTGTGTAAATACACTCATCCTTTGCTTTGTTTCCAAATATAGTATCACTATACATATTTGAATAAAACTGGTAAATGTAATGGAAGTTTTTTTTCCATCTCGTTTCACTGCACGGGTATTTTCTGAACACAAACCATTCTTCCCCTTGAGCAGGGACCAAGAGGTCAGGAAAGTGAGCCCTTCATATTAAGAAAAAAAAACTACATTTCATTTTTTTACCCATTCTGTGAAGCAAACTATTTTTTCAACTAAAACAAATAATCTTTATTTTTACTCTTTATTAATGCATTTGACATTACATATTTTACAATATGACTTCACCACAAAATATGTACATGAAAAAAAATGTGTGTTTGTGAAATTGGAGATGAGAGTGTTACAATATAAACAAAAAAACAGCAAGATGGACAAATCTACTAAATAAGAGTTGAAGTAATTTGTTCATTGTAGATACAAAATAGTACTGAATGAGTTGAACTGGTGTAACTCTCACACATTTTTATCTTATAAATTCATCAACCTGAAATGTATGGACATTAATCTTATTAATAATCATATTTGTCCTCTGTAAAAATAATTGCTCAGTCCATCTTAGAAACTCAGATCAAGTCAATTGCTCCAGGTGAAGTACATGCTCAAATATTTATAGCGATTAAATAATTACATGATTGCTATTAAATCTTAAAAAGGACACTCCATAGTATATTTTTATATTTTAATATTTCCTCCACTCTATAGTACTTTGACAGGTTTAGATATAAAGCAATAACTTCTATTTGATGTTTAATAGCGTAAAAATGTGGAATCATCAGTGTATTCTGATTCTTAAAACCGAAGATGGACTTAAAGCAAAGATCTTGCACATACAACTTCTGAGAAAGAAAAAAGAACTTCATCTTTGGATTTTAGAGCCCCATTGTCATTGCGGTTTTCTGAACTTCTTAAAGAAGTCATGTGTTGCTTATTTCTCTGACATTTGACATTAACCACATCCAGTGTATGATAAATGTCAACATTTTTCACCTGGGGGGTTTTTCAAATAAGCAACTTAGCATGATGAGAAGGAGAAGAGCCTTATTTTGCAGCTGCTGAATTGTAACTAAGGTTTTCAAATATGCTATAAGCATTTTTTTTTTTATCTTGAAAACGATACAAGTTTTTAAAAGTAGCGTGAGCATGTCATTTAATGACCTTTTTTCTGCACTTTATACACTTCTCTGTATCATTAATCATTGAGACTATTTATCAGAGGTTTAGATCTGCAAAATGCAAGAGTGTAACTTTCCAGTCATTTGCTGGATTAGTTTTCATTGTTGTTGTTGCCCTAATGCCTAGTGAGAATTTTAATTTGTTCCTCTTAAGAGTTCAACCTGAGGATGATATTTATAAGACTGGGTTAATTTAAGGCAATGAAACTCATTATTCATCTCTCAGTCTGAATACAGTCTTCTCTCGGTTCCAATCATGATAAAAAATCCCTCAAAATATGAGAATAGTCTGGACTGACAGCCAGTTTCATTTTGCAATGATGACACTACAGCATTCAGTAAAATCAGTTTTAGTTTCCATGTTCTGTGGAATTCACAGTCACAATGATAATCATTAGATCTAAGCTGTGAGACAACTAAATGCAGCGAACGCCCATCAAATATTTTCAATTTGCACTCATGCGGAATTAAACCTGAAACCTGTAATTAATAAAAAAAAATAAAAAATACAGATATGGAACAGAAAGACAATTCTGGCCTAAATTCTCTCCCACAAACATAGAACATTTCATTCTGACTCACTTTTTTCCATTGTACCCACTCATTTGTGTTAACACACAATATGATATGAATCAAAGACCAGGATATCTGAGACATGTACTGTACTGTACTGTAAACTGAAGAGTTAAATGATAGTGTTTATAAGTTGGACACTCTGCTCCACCCAGTTCCACCATCGTGGCTTTTTATTGTTGGAGGTCAGGATTGATGAACTAACATGTCATCTACTGCATTATCTGTGGGAATTGCTGAAGATATGCAAGTTCAAACAAATATTACATTAAAAAGTGTTATTCTTGGTTATTCTCTGATATTGTACAGTAAGTACCAAGGTAAGTGCCTAAAAGATTTCCATGCTTGTGAAAATGACTAACCAGCATCCTGTGAATGCATATATAGCGATTTATCTTTTTTAATTGTTATTATTGTTTACTTAATAAGTATCTGCCATTTATTGGTTATCAAACATAACATGAAAATAATTATGCTGGCTTATTGTATCATTCAGAATAGTAATATCAATGCATCTGTAGAATTTTATCTAGTTTTTCTTTTACATTTTTGATCAAACTGTCTAACATAAACTTATCATGCCAAATCATAACTAAATAACCAATGCTGTCATTCTTAAAAATAACAGTTCAAACCAAGAAAGATGTCAAAGTAGAACTGTTTCAATTTCCTCTAAGAACTAATCTCTAATTTCAGGCTTCAAAGAACTATATACCAAACTTCAAGAATCCACCGCTGCCAAAATTGGTTCTTGTTAAAAAGTGGATTGTTTGCTGAAACTAACATGCCACAAAGAACCACTGAAGAACTGTTACTTTTAAGTGTGACTGTCACAAAAACGTAATTTCTTGGTTAAAATATCTGAATAAAGAGGTGACCTTTTAAAAGACATCAAAAACTCATTTTGTGTCAACCAAGTTATTTTTGAAATTTTTGCACCTACTCATTTTCTCCCCGTGTACAGCTCTCATATACACAAGAAGTGTATTTTTAGAGTTTTATAATTTACCCTTTACATCTGGTGTCTGGGTGATCCTTTTTTAGGTTGGAAAATTGATTTCATAGATATTAGTTTAACACATGATGAAATTGCTATCATAACTGCAGGATCTCTGTAGAAGATGAAGGTTGCTTTACCTCCCACACCGTAACTCTATGTGTGCTTTAGCTTAATCCTTCTCCTCAGCAAAGGTTTCCTTTGTAAGTGCCTCTTCACAGGAAAGAAAAATCAAAGACTGAGTTGTCTATAAGACACACAGACCTCATTTGCTTCTGCACTTTAGGAAAGCACAATGTTTGGTTGCTTGTCTTTTTCCTATGCTGAGCTGTGTTAGTTTGTGAGGTTAAAAAAAACCCTACAAAGTAAAGAAGTGCTGTGAGTAAATAGTATGTAAATTTCCACATCATCTGGAATTCCAGTGCCATTTTAAGTGTTAGATGAATCACAATTAATTCAGTGGTTGATTTGAGAAATGTGATTGTTTTAACCAATCTAGCCTTGAAACATCCAATGATTAAAACTCTTGTCTGTCAAAACTAAAGAATATTTAGAGTATCAAAAATTGACCAAAAATTACATACATTTGATGATGCAGTGCTGTTCATAATCTAAAAATGTATAAAAACTTACTTGTCTTATTTACACATACTGCTGTCACACTGGCAAAAAAATACAAAATATTTTTTTGTTTATTTAAAGGGTAAGCTTTTTCTTTTAAAAAATGCATATTTATTTCTGAAAACAAATACCTAATTTATACAACCAGGTTTAAAGAGGGAAAGTCAAAAAACTCACCGTTGTGCGAGTGTCAGATTGATGCAAGTGAAAGAGCAATTATTAGGTCGAATGCTCTGGAAAATGTTCGGGTCACCCCTTTTATAATGTTTAGCATGACATTTAGTGGAAATTCAGCAAGACAGACGGTTTCCCCACTGGGTGTTGGTGTGTGTGCGTGTGTGTGTGTGTATTCATGTGTACATTTACCAGTGTGTAGTAACTGCTAGACTGTCTCCACATCTTCTTCAGAAATTATGTGGCATTTTGTTATTTCTGTTTCCTATAGGAACTCTACTTTGCAGCAAAATACCATTTTTTCCTGAGTGATTATAATGATATTTAGATATATAGATATTTGGCTTTTCTATTACTAGGGGTCTCATACTGTATGTGTATTGCTGACTGAATTTGCCAAACAATATTTTGTGTTTCCAATTATGTGTTTTCTAAATAAATTATTTCTCTGGTGTAGAGGAGCCAAAGCCTAAATTCATCTTAAATATTTCTTGTTCTGTTTTACCACGAGACAGCATTGAGATTCTGCACATTTTCTTTGACAGATATTTCTATTTCACCTCATTCATTCTGTTTCATTTCAAAACATCTTATCGTAAGAGATAAAACGATTTTCATCAATTAGATATTTCATGTCAGATTTCATGATTGAGATTAAATGGAAAAAATAATAATTCTGCCTTAAATAAATGTATAACTTTCCAATCAAAATCTGGTGAAGTCCATTCCGGAAGACCGGAAAATGAGATTGCAAAGAAAATAACCTATTACGTGTTCGGAAACTCCGTTTACAGGGTTTGTGACGTTGTATTCGGGTTCTGGGGGGAGACTGAACATACGTACAGGGTACATAGCATGTGTGTCGATTAGTTTAACGCAGGAAAAAACATCCTCATCCTGTGGTTGAAAAAGGTTATTTGAGTGTTTTTGAACAAATTGTTCTTCAATAATGACACTCCCAAGCATATGTACTGTATGTAGACTTGCAAGACTTTTTCAGTCTTTTCTGATACATGTACGTGACTATAAACAACTTAAAAACATTTCTGAATATGAAAACAGAGTAGATTTGAACATGTATCTTAACAACAGACAGATCGATATTAAAAAAAAAAATTCTTCAATGTTAAAAACCAAATGATGTTTGGGGTCATATTTATTAAGTATGATTCCAATATGTACAAATAAAATTAAACACCATGTGATAAGACATTGAGACAAAAAAAATTAACCACTTCCAGGTTGAACGTTTTGTTTTATTATTTGTCTCTATACATAGTTCATAACATCATAGTGTTTTGTACAATATCATATTCCACTCTGTTCCTGCAAGTAATTTTTGAACCAAGTCTGCACAATGATTTTTCCATTTCAATCATAGGCCTTGTATTTGCTAGGAAATATGGGGATGTATTCAAATCATAATTATTTCATATCCTCATTCAACAACAATACCTGTCAGGAGTGTGGAGAGTTGTAAGAAAACCAATCCCCATTGATTAATTTTTATATTTTCTTGATTTTTAAGGATGCCTAGACAGTAAGGAAAAAGACTGAGATGTTTCAGAGGTAAGAGTTGTCTTGACTATTTTATGCAGGCAGCAGACCTATACTATGGATTTATTTTCAAATGTATTAGATATAGGTAACACCTTGTAAAACATTTCAGCTGTTAATGAGGCAAACTGTATAATGTTGGTTCAATTTTTACTGTTATTCTTTTCTGTCATATTGTTACAAATGACCCCTACTAGTTTAACAACTTACTTTGATATTAGAGTAGGTTGCAACAATGGATCTCTTTGTATTCAAAATCAGCTCTTTTAATCTGTTTTATAATCATCATAATCGTGACTAACATTTGTAGAAGACAGATATAGATATCTTGTGTTAAAATATGAGCGGTCAAGAACCAAAACTCTCATGTTATTCATGGTTAAAGAAAAATGGTTACTATCATCCCCGGTCTCCCTCTATACATAGCAAGCCAGACCACTGATGCTGCACCTGTCGCACATATTGATTTCACTATATTAAGCAAGACTGACGGCTCCATCTAGGGGTTAAAATAGCTTACCAATCAATATTTTTAAACAGTAATGGTCCACAATTGAATATGCTTCTCACTACTGGATCTCATTAGCTTCATGATCATTCTGCTATACATAATATTCATTCGAAACAGCTGCATTTTGCACCACTGACTGAATTATGATAACAGAAATTAATTTAACACACATTTTGTCTGCATAATCTGTGCAATCAGTGTCAGGTAGGCAAGCTGTTCGTACAGGGATTTTTGTGTTTTATTTATTTATGAATGACTCATAACTGCTTTTCTTGGTTCACTTTTGTTATTTCATAATTCTTCACATATCATAACAAAAAACTGTACTGATTCTGTTGTTAGTAAATGGTGTGCATCTTAGAGCTTTAATCAAACTTTGTTTAAGAAAGTTACAGGGGTCTGTTACCCCAGGTGGCCTTAGGCCCATTTCACCCTATCATGGAGGAGAGTATGTGTGAGGGGCTGAATCTTCCGAAACTATTTAAAGCTGCATAACATGCTGAACGGCCATAACCAGTTGTTTAAATATGAGTGAACTGTGACCAGTTTTTTTAAATAAAGAAATTGTATTAAAGAAAACTGAACCTTTCTGTTATTTTGTTAGTTTACATATTCTTGACAGTGACAAAGCATTTGCTGTATTCTTGACTGAAAATGTCTTTAAATGACCTGAAAAGAATAGAATGTTCACAATAGGGTTCAGATTATAATCATCTCATCTTCATTATTATGAATGATTTATTATTACTACTAATAATAATTTTTATTATTATATTAAACAATACACACACACACACATATATATATACACATACATACATATATATATACACACATATATATATATATATTATTATTATTATTATATATTATTATAGCCTACTTATTATAATAACCAATAGATTGACCAGTTCTATTATATTAGCAATATTTGCTTGCCTTTTTTGTTGTTGCAATATTATATATTTTTATTTCCTTTGCAATTAGTATTAAGTGATTTTTTTTTTCTCACAACAAACGGCGACCAAACAAATAAGCGTGTCTTTAAACTTTAAAATAGCAGTGGGGGGCGTGTGCGCTTTGGAGCGGCCAACAAGAGATCAGGGGGAGGGATATACCAACAGAGCCCATCTTCCTCCTGACCTCTGGAAAACGATGGACGAGCCGCTTCCTTCTAAATTTAGACACTTATTCGTGTCTGTGCACTATGAGCTCCAAACTGCAGCTCTCGTTTATGTCAATAGTTCAGGCCTAGTTCGGTCGAAACGCGGTGACAAACCCTCGCGGGTCTCCGTTGGCCCTATGAGCGGCAGCTCGATCTGACTGACGCGCACCATCGCAGTACGGCACCTTTCATGTTTACGAGACTCAGAAACAGACGTAATGGCGCAGGGGAATAACAGTAATTTCTTAACTATCCCCTCACAAGAGGAGCTTTTCAAGATGGCGAGGGACGAGCGTTTCGAAAACAACAGTAATGATGAAGATGAGGAAGAAACGGAGGAAGACGTCAGGCTAATACCGAGGTCTTCTCCTGTTCCCAGAAAGCGAGGCTCTTCGATTGCGGATGAAACCGCCGAGTACATGCGAATCCGCCTGGTGTTAACGAACAGAAGAGTGTCGTTTGCAGACAGTACGGGAGCCGAGCTGGTCGATGTCAGAATGTTTGTCCAGTTTGAGTCAGATGACGAGGACGATTCAAGATGGGTGGAAGAGGAGGCGCGGTACCGAAAAGCCTACCGTGAGCCCACTTACCGTGTGTGGCCGGAGTTCCAGCCGCTCACCGGAACGGAGCTCCTGCTCGCTGTCCACAGCAACAAGCTGGAAGTGGAGAGCGTGACATCTGTGCCAGATGAGCCTCTGTCATTCGAGGTGCTTATTCGTGTGCGCAACATTTTCGCCTGGTGTTACCGAACAGAAGAGCGTCGTTTGCAGACAGTACGGGAGCCGAGCTGGTCGATGTCAGAATGTTTGTCCAGTTTGAGTCAGATGACGAGGACGATTCAAGATGGGTGGAAGAGGAGGCGCGGTACCGAAAAGCCTACCGTGAGCCCACTTACCGTGTGTGGCCGGAGTTCCAGCCGCTCACCGGAACGGAGCTCCTGCTCGCTGTCCACAGCAACAAGCTGGAAGTGGAGAGCGTGACATCTGTGCCAGATGAGCCTCTGTCATTCGAGGTGCTTATTCGTGTGCGCAACATTTCTTTTCACAAATCAGTCTATGCCCGGTCCACGATGGATGGTTGGATCAATCACTTTGATTACCCAGCCAAGTACGTCCAGGGCTCCAACGAAGGCGAAACGGACAAGTTCTCCGTGAAACTGGCCTTCGCTTCACCGTACCTGTTCAACGGAGCGCGGATTGATTTTGTTGTGCGCTATGAGACGCCAGATGGAGAGTTTTGGGCAAACAACTCTGGCAGGAATTACTCGGTAAACCTCTTACAGTCATATGACACAATCCAGACCACCACAGCGGACACAACAGAGCTGAGAGGAATCCTAAAACCTCCCAGATACCGGTAAGTGGGCGTCAGTGAACTTATAACACGAGTCAAATTCTGTTCTTAAATCTGTTTAGCCAGCAGTCTGATTTAGCCGTTTAGCACGGGTTAATTAAGCAATGGCGTACTAAAACGTTAGTTTAAAAAAAATATCAACAGGATTAAATCTGCCGTGTGATATTTCTTAATTGTTTGCTTTTATTCTCTGTAAACTTTCGGGTAATTTACCGTTCAAACAAAAAAGTCGAGTTAATTCAGTTAGGTTTTTGCCCGCGAACGGAAATATAATTCAAGATTTTAGCTTTGGATGTCGCCAAGCAACGTACAGACTAAAAGCTGGTCTGGCATATCGTATATGATTGGAAGCGGAGAGGCCGACAAACAGCGTTCTGTGAACACTCCGCGAGAAGTCCGCTCCGGGTTTTGCATTTCCCACGCTCTGCTTACCTGTGAGAGAGAAACCCAGCAGCAGTTTTAACATTAAGTGACGCACAGATGCCATTGGCACATGCCACTATGCTCAGTGACACTTCCGGTGGCACTTCCGGTTTTCAGTGGCACGTGTCACTAAAACCTGTGACACATGTCAATGGACTGCGTCTTGTGTCAGTTGCCGCGGTGCGTGTCGCACCTTCGGTAGTGACTGACACCTGCCGCTGGGTGTCGCTGCATAATGTAGATTGCGTGACACGCACTTAACGGCAGAACGATATTGAATTAACAGTATGTTGCTGTCAAACATACGATTTATTACATCGCGGAGTTCATTTGTACAACAAATATTGAGTTCCTATATTAAGATTAAAATGTGTCTTATGCCCCTTAATGAGTATTTTTCATTGTAAGTTTATTTCCAGTAGCCAGTTCGTTTTGTGCATTTTCATTTTTGCATAGATTTGACAGTTCAGCTGTATCATTTGTAATTATAAAATAATATAGAGACTATGCAGAGGCAAAAAGAAAGAAAAAAAGAAACGTTTTAATGAAATGTGCCACCACTGATACTTGCCAATCAGGAATTAGCCTACATATAAATATAAACTGATGAGAAAATGCCACAAACCATTATGATGTCTACTATTCTAACGTGCTTTATGAAACTTACACCAACCATTCAGAAGTGTGCTTGACCTTGACACAGGCTTTTCACAACGCAATGTAGGCTAATGTAAGTCTGTAATGTAATGTAAGTCTATGCTATATTAAACAAAGTTTGTACTTATTAACGTATCTGCAGAATGTCAAATGCTTTGACAAAACATTCAGGCATCTCCAGAAGAAATGCTTGCTCATACTAATATATATATATAGTGTTTCTTGTTACACAGTTACAATTATAAACAGAATTACAATCAATTTATATATAATTATTATATTACTATATAAAATATTAAAGCCAGATGATAATCTGGCGCTGGCCAATGTTAAATTTATACTGACACCTACCGACCTACTATTCTAACGTGCTTTATGAAACTTACACCAACCATTCAGAAGTGTGCTTGACCTTGACACAGGCTTTTCACAAGGCAACGCAATGTAATGTAAGTCTGCAACGTAATGTAAGTCTATGCTATATTAAACAAGGTTTGTACTTATTAACGTGTCTGCAGAAAGTAAAATGCTTTGACAAAACATTCAGGCATCTCCAGAAGAAATGCATGCTCATACTATATATATATATATATACAGTGTTTCTTGTTACACAGTTACAATTATAAACAGAATTACATTTAATTTATATATAATTATTATATTACTATATAAAATATTAAAGCCAGATGAATTTATATTTCTAGATTTCCGATGATAATTTAATGCTTCTACATTCATTGTTTTATATTTAAAACAAAAATTAGTAACATTTGTGACTGAAATTGAAAGCTGATTTTATGCAGCTTCTGTGCAATGCACCTTTTCATGTTATATTTAGATGCAGCCTTTGCAGTGTAAGAATTCATAAAATACCAATTGTCACGTTTAAATTTCCTGCTGCTAAAGAAGAAGAACCGTGGAATAACAAAGCTGTATTGAATTCTACAGGGCCTGTTATACAGCATCTGTATTGTGTGAGTTTTGGGGTTGCACGGTCTCCCCACCCCCTCACTCCCTTTTGAGAATGGCAGCCATTCAAGGGTGTGTGAGGAGGATGAAAATAGGACAAGGCAGGTGTCACTTTCAGCTCTGGTGTACCGACCGAGACCTTAACTCTGACCTTTTCTATAGGGGTTGCACAGCAAGAGACACAACAGACCAACAAAAGCAGACACAAACCTACGCCAATTCCGTCTGTACACCTGGAGACATTCTTTTACCCATTATTTCCACTTTATCACCAACGACAATGAAAGTTTGAGAAAAAAACAACAACAACGAATGAGTGGCGTAGAGATGAAAATGTTTTTTTTAATGTACAAACATTGTCATGGAACTCCTGTATTATCAGGAGATAAAAATCAGAAGACTGGTTTCGACCTACAGTTTAGACTCGCAAGTCTTGCTCGCAACCTTTCCTCAAATGTCAAGTGTTGTTTCTATTACAGTGCTCAAACATGCTATGAATAGAAGGTCAGAGAACAGGATGTCAATCGAACTGCTTCGCACACAAAATACTCTGAATATGTAGCGACTTAATGAAATGGAAAAGGTTGTACAAAGAGTCACATGACCAGAGCATATGTCCATAATGCTCATCAGAACCTTTCGTGATGTACATGGGTCAAAAAGGGTTTAAGCATAAAAACAATAAGTGTAATACTGCTTTAAATTGTTGTTGTTTTTCCCCCAAAAATGTAAAAAGTTTTGTTTAATTTAATTGCAATTTAATTGTTTTTGTTTTTCTGAGCACAAAATAAATATCATACATTTTTCCCTGATTTACAGAAGACACCCACTAAATTGTCATTCAGTGTAACATTCTTGTCAAGCATATTTACAACAAAAATCAATTTATGACATTAAAAGACTAATTACTTTCACCCCAAATACTAATTAGTTGTAATTTTACTTTTTTTTTTAAATTGCCATTATCCTAGGTTTTGCCCATTTGTCACTAAGAATTTTTACTCATTTAAAACACAATAAAATGTAATATGCTCCCTTATTATTTTATATATTTTAATATGTACAAGTCAGAATAAGCATGTTGTTTGAATTTTTACATAAATATTATGTTACACTGAATGACAATGTAACATTATTTCAACCATTTTATTCTCCAAAAACTTATTTGAAAGCTTAAAAGTAGACACTTTACTTACATTTAATGTACTTTCTATGGACATATAATCACTTTTGTAAAATTATTTTGATTCGGACATCTTAACGTCTTTGACCCACACATACAGTATGCAAGAACGCATGTGTAATATTTGGACAGGTCCTTATCCCATCATAGGATTTATCATGCGGTTTAAGGGTGAGTGTGGGCTAAGACCATAGACTGTAAATAAAACATGGACATAGTGTCCGTGACGTCACCCGTAGGTTTCTAAAGAGCGTTTTTGAAGCTCAAAGTGGGCGGAGAAGGCCGTCGCCATCTTGGCAGCGTGGCACTCCCGTACA